GTTATCACGAAATATTAAGATAATATTATGATAATTCGCTGATGCGTTATACTATACTCGTCGACCGGACTATTTATACAGAATTATGCAAAATTAATTCTTTACTATCTATATAGACAACAGCATAAAGTATTAAAATTGTATACAAACGAGTGTTTACATAATGAAAAAAATAGATGGGTAGGTAAGCTTTATAAAGAAAAACACTTAAATTTAAATTAAATAAATGTTACATATTATTTAACTTTATAAAAGTATCATGTAGGTATAAAATATTTTATCTATTAAGTAATTCATTATTCTTTTCTTCAAAACGCATGATAAAAATATGAAAAAAACAGTAAAATATATTAATATGCACATATAAAAGTAAATGAAAATAATACGAGTATTCGAATGATAGTTGAATATGTCTTGAATCTCACTTATTTAAATTTAAACTGGAGTATTCCTACGAAAATTCCAATCTGCTCATCAGATACTAAAACGACTACACAAGAAATTGTGACACATATATTTGAATTAACTAATACGTGGTTACGCACACTCCATCAAATATAAATATTATACTAGTAGTAAATTCGAAGCTCGATCGCAAGTAGGTGATACATGTATCATGTATTAATTATGATTGAAACAAAGAAGGATTTAAAATAATGAAAAATTCAATATAATATGGTTTATACATCATAAAATCAAACGATACACTATAATATTACATTATAATATTCGAAAAAAAAATGTAAGTACACGCAATCGAACAGAGTACCTAATAATAATAAAACACTAAGAGCACTAATAAAACTGAGTCGAAAAAAATTCCGATAAGTATAAAGAATGTTTTTGCTCGTGAATCGAACAAGAGGTCGTATGAGTTGACGTATTACCATGTTATCGAGCATATTATTATTATATCAGACATAGGTAGTTATTAGTTAGTCAGTTTTAATTTAAAAGGTATCCAAGTGAGGTTGGCAGCGATAAATAAAACATAGTAATAGAGATATGTAAAGGCACTTACTATTCAATATTATAATAAACATTCGAAACAAATAAAGAAATTTTAAAAAACGAAATTAAAAATCTTGGCTATAACTTTATTTGTATTTATGCATTTATAATTTATAAATTTGTATTTTTCGTTTACAGAACGTAATCGCCGACTTTAAATCATTGTTTATTTAGTTTAGTCAACTCGTTACATATATAGGTAGTATTCAATGTACGTCACATAATACAAGTAGTAAAAAAACATATTTTTAAAATTTATAACAATAATATAACTATAAAACCACAACAACATATTTACGTTTTTACGGACTTAATATCAGTCTACTACGTAGTATCTCCAACTATTATGATGTTGTATGAAGGAGGGGACTTTTAGACTTCGGTTAAAAAGTTTAACAATATAGTCAACGAAATATGAAATTTCAATTGTTAAACAATATATTATAAACACTGTATCTACATTATGTACATGTCATATAATAAGTATGTTCATTGACGTAGAGAGATAAAATACAGGATCGTCAAAATTAGACTAGACTAGAAATCGGTAATATTATGATCTCGATCGAAATTGTAATGAACAATTTTGGAACGATCGTGTACACGCGTACGTATATACACACTCACGCACTTATATTTATTCTCGTGTTTATTATTAAAATTTGAGTTGTTGGTCACTTGATCGATCGAACTTTTGTTTTTTGAAACGTGCGCAGCTCGCAGGCGATGCGGCAACGTCGAATTAAGTCTTGACCGTTCTTGACACGTCTAAAAATTGACCTTGGTATCGAACGCGTGCAAAGCATACGCCGCAAGTTTATAAAATAATATATTTATATATATGGCAACGTCAATGTATGCACGTGTGTAGAGGTGTAATAATAATAATAATAAAATTGAAAATATATACTTTTTGTGCATTCTCGTAACCGAGAATAAAACTGTAATTACGAAATAACGTGTTTGTGCGTGTAAATCATATAAATTTCGATGTAGGGACGAACTTTTAGATTGTTGAATATAATATTTTGATTTGAAACAGTCGAAGTAAACTGTAAGACGATTTTCAACATGGTACAATTCTTTAACATAATCGCGTGACACTTGAATGATTCGCGTGCAGTATAGTTCCTCATCAGTGTATGGATTGAAAGTAATGGGGGAGAGGGTGTGATCGTTTAAAATGTTAATATACCATTCAGGTATGATGGGTAAACTAGTGGATACGTCGTTAGTTCATCACTCATTTAATTTTGTTGGTTACAAACACGAATGACACAATTCTACACTTCTATATATGCCGTTTTACCGGCATTTTAAAAACCCCCAATGTTGATGAATGATGATGAATCAAATATATAAAAAATATTACATAACTATTATTATTTACTATATATAAATATGTAATTAATATAAATACAATTAAAGTCTTACATTTATACAACATTTTAGATAATTATTAATAAATAATACTATTGGTATTTGACACAGCTATAGAACTTCTGATTAAATGGTGGAAGGAGGGGTTCGATAACGAATGTTGGTATTTTTATTTTTATGTCATTCTATTAAGATATAATAATTTACATATTATGAATTTCTTTTTGAATATTTTAATTTTTTCAACTAGATAACTATAAAAATATTATACAGAAAAAAATAACAAAAATCAATAGTTGGAAATGTGCAAGTACATTGATTTAAAAACAAAAATAAATATTCGAAATTCTAGACTAATAAAGCGATTTAAATTACATTAAAATGTAATAAATACTTTTAAAGGTATTTTCTTAAATACTTATTCACAAACAAACAATTATGTTTTTTTTTAAATATGATCTACATTCATAGTATCAGTATAATAAATACTTAATAGCTATTTTAAATTAAAGTCTTTGGTATTTTTTAATTTTAATTTTTTTATTATGTAAACAAAAGGGAATCAAATTATTTACTTTTATCATTAATGAGAACAATAACGAATTTAAAAATGTCTTTTAATCATATCCAATTTATTCTTTTACTTTATAAAAGAAAAAATACAATAAACAATTGTATCAATTGTCTGTGTTACCTACCTACCTACCTACTTACCCAAAACATATATAATGAGATAATATCTTTCATATTATTCTCAATTGAATAAATCTATACATAATATATATAAAAATAAGATAAAATGTACATAGATGTTCAATGAATAATATTATTATTGAGTGATTTACAATTTTTTATTATTATTTATTTATTATACCTTTTTGATAAGCATAATTTTTTCCTTACACAGTTTACTCCTAAGATTAGATAATAAATATTAATGTTATATAACTGTAGTTGATGTATTTTAATTTATCTACTATCTCACCTCTTTGAATATTTATTTTTTTTTAATAAAAAATAATAAATTGGATATTTTTTCTTTGAAATATTTCTTAATTGTCTAACCATAGTTAATCCTTGAACATTTAAATTTTAAATTTATATTGAAATATACAGAAAATTATCAATAATAAATCTTTCTTATAATACATTTCAATAATAGTTACATTCATAAAAAAGGTTAATGATAAATATATTTTGACTAAATAACATTTTATAATTGTATATACCACTTTCTTATCTATCACAAGTGCAAAATGGCAAATTCTTTAACATTTAATAGTAATATTTATTAAGCGGTAGTATGATACCTACTATCTACCTAATGACTAATTATATTTTCCAATATATTATTAAATAAATAAAATCTTAAAGAATATTGTTAATGGTGGTTATTTAGAAATAATAATAATTCAAGGAAAAATAAATTAATAAACTGATATTATAAGTATGAAGAAATAGAGACACAAGAGATAAAAATTAAAAAATTAAGTTGAAATATAATAAGATTTATGGGTTTGAATCTATAAAAAAATTATTTAAAAAAGAATAATTATAAATTGTTACTCCATAACTATTAAAAAAAAAATGGAATTAAGTAATTAAGTTATGTATAAACCTAAGAGTAGGTAAAGTATTAAACTATTATTTATTAACTAATAGTAATATTATTGAAGGATTAAATATTGAATTTTAAAAAGCTTAACAGAGAGATCAAATTATTTTAAATTGTTATCAAAAAAAAATATTCTGAAATCTAAAAGTAATTGTATATATATGTACATTTTCATAACAATAAATAGATAAATAAGACGGTAATTTAAATATCACAAGTTCTTTTAAAATATTTTATTAAAATTTATATAACTTAAATCAAATTATTAGACATCAGCTGTCAACTCAATGATGTGGTTTTTCTTAGTCGAATCTCACTCTAAGGACTAATGTGTTTGACTACAAAAGATGATATAATATCATAAACATTGAGCTAATACCTTATCATCAACTATTCCTAAACCAAACTCTGAAAAATCAGTTGCTTACGCTGTGCAAAATAAATACCTACACACTATCATATCCTTCATTTTACAATGCATTGTGTTTGAAAGTTCTAAAGTGGCTTAATCAACAGAATTGAGAAAATTCAAAGGTCTATTAGAACGGTTGCTATCAAACATATGTGAACTACCTATTTATCGCTGATACAGAGAATTAGAGTAAAATGTACTCTTATAGTAAGACATAATTATATAATATAATATATACTATTTGATTTTACATCGGTATTATTATTAAGCTATTAAAAGGATATATCAACTGTCTAAACATCAATCAGTAGGTACCTGCTAGACATTATTTCCTACCTATTTCATACAGCACCTAACATAATCGCAAGTTTGTTTAACACAGTCCAATTAATTTGAATTCCGCGTTACAATATTGTTAATGTAAGTAGGTATTATTTATCAGATTTTGAGTTTCGGTGTTTTTTTTTTTTTAATGTTGTACCTATAACTTTATATTTTAATCGTTACTATACTCTCTGTCAAACCGCGGTGGGCAATACTATCGTAAGCAAATAGACAAATAAATGACGGCATTATATTTACCGCCAAGCGATTCCTCAGGCAGAGACTTCGGCGTAGTAGACATGATGACGACGGAGAAAAACTTTTTGTTGATTAAGCGTACGCCGAACGGGAAACGGCGCAAGTACGCGACGGATGGTTAGTGTGCGGTCGACGATTTTTCAGCCGAACGGTCGGAAAAAACGTAAAACAAACAGAAAGATATTGACGGTCGATCTCGTTTGTGTCGGTTTTACGTGGCCAACACACGAAAACAAACACCGAAAACTTAAACGGATGCGCGATATCAGTAACAGCAAAAACAGCGTTCGATAGGGAACGGAGGACTAACGCGGAATGAACAGTCTCAATAGTCAACAGTCGGATAACGAGGATAAGCGAAAACGACGCCGTCGACGACGACGCCAACACAGCAACACGGCGCACGCACGCACGCGCAGACGTCACAAAGAACCATAGTCGTCGTGTGCCTGCCGGTGTGCGCGCGTCCGTTGTGTTATTGTTATGATTCCCTCCCACACACCCGCCGGCCGACGGTCAACAAACTCGCCGACGGAATATTACGTATATAATAGGGACGTTCGACGGGCGCTCGTCTAGTTCGTTCACAAAATTGAAAATTTCGATGGACGGCGAGCCGGTAGATCGTAAGTCGACGTTTCGGGAGGCTACTTAGTTACTTGATAATATTTACCGAGGAAACATTTTGTATTTTCGTACATTTACAAAGACATAATAATCATAATATAAAGCACCTGAGGGCTGAGACCGAGAAAAAATTAGAAAGTATTATTGATTTGTATGTATCTATTAAAAGCGCATTAAAAAAAAACATAGTCACAATAAAACGATTACGAGACGATTTTTTATTTAATATCCGACTGGATAAAAATAATAACTGTGTGTGTTTATAATACGCAAAAACATTTTAAAACTTCATATAATTAATAGATAAAAAAAATCTAAATTAACCGTTTTTAAAGCTGTATTCTTCATTCAGTTTTGAAAAATTTATTGATAGGTAATAATTTTACAATTTACTGCCTACTGATATAGATTGATATGGCTATATCTTTTTCGGTATGCGAAAAAATTACTAAAGTTATTACTTATTAGTTATAATTTACAGGTAATTATTAAATAATACATCCATAAATAGTAAAAATAACGATTTTAATATATTCACAGAGTGTACCAAATGTATTTACTCTAAAGGTAATTTTTAATTTTTAATCAATGGTAAATAAATAATTAGTTGATAAATTTCAAATAATAATAATAATGTTTATATTTATAAATTATAATAAATAATAACTAATAAATACAAAAACTTGGGAACTCTCTCTGAATATTTGTATAATATTATAGTAGGTAGATAATGGATGTATTACATTTTTATTCAAAGAAAAATTACATACCTACAAGTACATATGAAAAACGATTCTCAGAAAACGGTGTGTCTATATTTCTAAGAATATTTTATCATTTGTTTCTCTGTACGATATGTGAACTGTCAAAAACATCTTATTAGAGAATCCTTATATTAAATTCAGCCATAACTAACGTAAACATAATTTTTTTTTTACTTAAAGCGAGACACCTGTAAATGTTAATAGGAAAACCTTAATGATTGTTGACTTCAATTAGGTTATTTAATTATTTAACTTATTTTGAATAATTTCTATCTATGGACTATGACTTACGGAGGTTTACCGTTAACAGTATAAAATGTATATCATGTATATCAGTAGGTATATCAATGTACACTATGTACAGTGTACAGTATACGTATGCGTATACCTACCAACGTAATATTTTTGGTTGTGATGAATAAATATTGCGTGCTCTTTCTTAGTGGAATAAAATGCCACAGGTTAAGTTGGTTCTTTTTTCAAAGTGGGAAATTTTTAAGACATAAAGCTCGAAAGTAGGACGTATGATCACGTTAGACATAAGTTATAACTCATAGCCAAAACCTTTGGTTAAAAAGATTATTAATTTTATGCATTTTTAGCAAAATTTTCAAAATTTTGTGATTTGAGAGTCTTGGATAAATTTATACTTTAAATGATTATATATTTTTATTATTTTTAAAATACTGTAAAAACTCCTACGAGGAACCGTAATGTATAAAATGATCACATTTTCGGAATCAAAAAAAAATGTTATCATCATAAATGATAAATCAAAAAAGTAGAAAATTTAAAATTTCTATATAAATAGTTTGAATAAAAACAAAATAGTTTGAAAAATATATCACGATGTCAGTTTATAAAATGTGAAATTAAATATTTGATAAAGTTTTCAAGTAGATATCTATGATTATTAATTTTTAAAACAAGAGAAAAAAACAGAATGGAATTTCTTATAAATTATAATTGACCTCTCGACGTATTAATTAGATCAAACTTTCCATCAGAAACCACCCTCAAAGTCGAAGATTTAACTATTTAAGGATCTTTTTACTGTTTCAAAAAGAGATGATATGCGAGAAAAAACATATTCATCATTATAAATCGAATAAATTCATTGCTCCGCTCAAAATCTAAAGCCATATTATGTTTGTGTGGCTTATCCCCGATAGCCCCTCTCCCTATTTCACGCATATATATATATGACCCGAGATAATAAAAATGTTACAAATCCGTTCAAACAGTGATCTGGCGTTGCAGCATTTTGCAACCAGGACCCGCACGTGTATCGTTATAGATTATTATTGTAATTTAAAACAGTTGCAGTACAATGTACACGATTTGTGACTTGTGTCGTGTGAGTTGTTTGTGCGCGTGTGGGAACGCGCGTACGATGCACTCGTGATCACAGTCACGTACGCCACCCGACGACGTGAACGCTGCACCCCTCATACTGACTAACACACCTGCTTGCAAAGACGTACGCACGGGTAGGTCTGAGTGGGCTTTCGCCTCACCTGAGCCTTTTTCTTACAAGTGGGTGGATACTTGGTACCTATAAAAATAGTAACTAATAACTAATAAGGCGCTACAGCCGTAGAAAATTGATTGTAAAATAAATCAAAATCATAGATATTTACACGATTGAAGATATACTGGTCGCTCACAGGCATAATTTTTTTCTTGTGTAACCGTGGCGTGGGGAAGATCAGATTGAATTTAGCCATATCTGACTCAAAAGTCTATGCACGCCTATGCCTTTAAGCGATATTATGTGCGCGTTAAAATGGTCGTCGGCTCGGCCCGATGTTGGCCTGTGCGCCGTGTTTTGATTACGTATCTGCATTGAAGTTCTTCAAATTGCACTGCTACAACAGTCATTGTACTGCAGTAGTTCAATATAATCGTAAACATATCACGGTCCCAGTCGAAGGGTGTATGGACAGTATATGGTTCCGTCAGACGAGTCATATTGTGTACGGGTTAGCACCATGTTATCACGACTGTGTTTCTCTTCGTTACCGTATCAGCGTTTTTCAGCATTGCTCAGATCGAAATTTTAAATTGTTAATTTCATAAATTTTAATCTTAAAACCTGTATACTTAATCGCTTAATTGATTTATAGCAATTTATAAAAATAAAAACGATATATTATGTGCACAGTTATATTATACTTATACTTGATTAATGGTTGAAGTAGACAGTCTACTTAGCTCATAGTCGTTTTTTCATGTACAAAGATAATATATTAATTATATTTATTTACATAACTATAGTATTTTATTATAATATACCAAGGCTTAAATTACATATACCTATATATATATTGTTTTTTCGTTTTTGTTTATTAAATATATATTAATATTTTAATGTTCAATGTGATTGGATTTTTAAACGTTATTTAAATTTTGTATTTAATGTTCGTCATTTTAAAATCGACAAAAAAATGTAAATTTTTTTTTTATTATTAAATTCAATTGCTTTGTGACATAATTAACCACTTTGCAATGTGTGAACAATGCAATTTGCTTAAAACTTGTTGACCTATTAGCAATTTATTATTATAATTTTAATTTAACTATTATTTATTTATTATTAGCTATTTTCAAAACATTATCCTAGAGTTTTTAGCATGCAATTGGTAGGTTTCGTAAGTGTTATTTTAGATATTTACAACTTTAAAAAAATGCAGAGTAAGAATTAAGTAATATTTATTTACAGATGAAACATACTTTACATATTGCTATGATAATAACAACATGATAGGTAATTAATACAATATTCACAAATGTAGGTAATAAAGCTATTAAAATAGCTGTAATATTTACACAAACCATCACATGTCCACTTCAACGAAATTAAACACTTATTTAAGAATTTTAGGTGAGTATAATATGTTATGAATCACATAAATGACGAATAATTAATAAAAAAATAATAATATTTATAAATAATTGATAGATGGGTATAAAATATTTTGGAAAACATACATTACTATTAACACAAATTAATCAACTTTAAATTGTTCATACTGACAAGGTATTATAATTTTTCTTTATAAAAATTAAATTTTCAATGGAATAAACTAATGAAAACACTTAAATGTTATACCTACTGTTAATTGTTATAGAAATGTGTAAGTATGTTATTTGATACTTACAACGTATAGATTAAAGCACAGACGGACTTTGTAGTTATTTTTTATTATAAGTATGTTAATCTTAAAAATATTTAATGGTGTTTGAATTTTTTCATTTATTAGTTTTTAAATTTAATAATTATTTCTGTTATAAGTTATAGCGTTGTTTAAATAACGTTTTGAAGCCCTAGACTTATCTATTATGTTATCTGAGAATAATTGTTTTTGTTTTTTATGTTTTTTATGTTATATATTGTTAATTTGGTTGTTCTATCAAGTTAATGGATAAATAAAATTGAATATTTTTCAATATTATAATAATTAATGGCTGTTATTGACTATGATGCGTATACTCAATATGTTTGTTTACTCCATCAATGTGAGACTTGTAATGTATTTTAATTGTATTTATTTTGACTTGTATTTTAATTACTTATTAATTATTATAATATGCCTATACCTGTGTTATAATGTGATGAGTGATGAAATTACATATTATTGATCACGATAATAATTTGTTTTTTTTTATATAAAAAGGTAATTAATATTATGTTTACGTTGCACTATGATTCATTCGACTAGTGACTATACGTATCCAGTAGTATGTTAGGGTATTGTAATCTCCACTCCCTCTGAAAATTGTTAAATAATAAATAAATGACTAAATATTCAGAAACTATTATTGTTATCAAATATTTACAAATAAAACACAATAATTTAAAAAAATTAATAATAATAACTGAATTAGTGTGTATCATTGATATTGTATCGATAATATTATCATTTTCAAATAAAATGTATTCCACGTAGCCTTGGACTAAATGCACAGCGGTTACCACTAAACATCAATACTATAACTATTAGATTTCTGTAAGGCTGTAAGATATCGTTTAGTATACGACGTATTTAACTGTCAAGCACTTAACAGTACAACAGAACTATACTGCAGTCTGACTACAAAAATAATCTACATTACATGATATATATAATAATAACATAGTTTGCTAAGTATATCAATATCTTATAATTTCCAATTTTAAACTCCTAATGCATTTTCGAATTTCGATTACGTCTTTTATAATAGTATTGTTCATGTTGGAATGTTAATGGAATAAGCATGTAGATTGTAGTGATTAAACCGATCGCAGAAATACTGTTGTAGTATTGTGATTTTTACTAACATTTTATTATTTATTTAATACCTCCAGTAAAAAGATCAAATATAACAACATTTTTGATAGATAAATTTTCCAAAATATTAGAATAAAAAATAATTATACATTTATAGCTATAAAAAAGATAAATATTTATACAAATTTAAACTTTTACTATAATTGTAAAAAAAAAGTAATATATTATATAATTATAATAAAAACCACACAAAATTCAAATCAATTTAATTTGTTGCGTTTTTTAACCCTCCCTTCCAAAATGTTTTTTTTAAAACGCTACTGCATTCCACTAATCTATTTAACCTACTTAATTTTATTTAGTTACTATAATGCTGATTCATACGATCATAATATTTCATAAATATAATTATTTATTTATTAACATTACAATAGATACACAGTTATATATATATATATTATATACTGACACTAAACACTAACAAATATAACTATTTAATTTTAGTTGTAGCTTAAGAATAGACAATTAACCAAGAATTTTATTGAGAGAACTTCAAACAGATATTTTGTCATACCCAACACATTTTTACCCATCTTTTGTTCATTACACCAATTAAATAAGATCACCGTCAGATAAATATATTCAATGACATGCCAAGGATTTCAAAAAAATTAATTTCTATTATTGTTATGGCCTATGGGATTGAAGAAATCTGTTTTTGACTGTTTCAATGTATTTTTCATTTTCATAGTTTTGTGAGGGAAAGATTATTGTGTGAATTTCAAAAATAAGCTTACATGTTTACGAGCATGGCGTACACTATTCTCGTAAAAATGTTTTTTTTTTTGAAAATCTTAATTTTTACTCGAATATGGCTGGAAATACGTATTCTTGACTTCTTTATATGTAATTTTTATTTTTCAAAAGCAAAAAAGTTAATAATAGGTAATAGCAATTCTAATATAAAGATAAGTTATCTAAAAAAAAAAATTTTAATCGAGAGGAATTATATACTTTTGTTTATTATTTATGGTTATACCAGTAATACTTTCCTCTCTTTGGACATTTCACCGTATACATCAATAACATTTCTGAAAGTGATTTGATATTATTAAAAGTACAACTTTAATATAATAACTTTAGATCGATATTAGAACAGTATTAACACTTACAGTTTAACCCATATAACTGTGGTACGTACCTTAAAACAGCTATGCTTTATAAAGTGCATAATAATATTTTTTATGTGTAATTATAATAAAAGAAAACTATGAATTCGTTCTAAGTAAAGCTAATAACGAATTCTATTCAGTTTTAAAATCTTACTGAATGTATTCCTCAATCATGTATAGATAAATCAGAGATAGATAAAAGTACAAATTTTTAGGAAAAAAAATCATTCTTCTACATTTGCGACATTTCCGTAATGTAAAGAATTTCCCGCTAGAAATAAAATATCAAGCATGGAAAAATCTTAAAAAGTAATCTATAAAATAACTAAGCTCGCCATCAAGTAAATCATTTGGGAATCTCTACAGTAGTGACCGGGCATATGGAAGTTTTGCATTATGATTTATGAATATTATTAAAATATTATGATAGGGTACATGGCACATTTAACACACAATACTGAAAATTAAAACTGCGAATACAATCAGTCATACTCATTTCTCTTGGTATTGCATATATAAAACTCCTTAAAAACGATTTTTTTTAAACACGTTTTGGATAGGACCATAGAACAGAGATAGAGCTTGATTTGCTTGTACAATAACATTTTTTAAAGAATCGCTTACATATAATAAAAAATAACGTTAACTTCAGTCATAAAAATATAACAAACTGAAAGTGTTACGAAGTTAAAATGCAAAAAAACGTAATAATCAAACATTAATACTAACATAATTATTGTTTATATTTTAGAACCATATAAGAAATGACGTATGTCTAAAAAATATTTTATTAAGTACATATATATAAATAATACATTTAAATCGTTATTATGACTAGTGTAGTAGTGTATACACATAACAATATGTCATTATGGTATACAATTAAACAATTCTATGTTCAATAACATTATAATATAACCGATTAAATTATAGTGTAATCGTTATGAATTGAAAGCGAGTACCCAAATATTATCTATCGATATGAAGTCCGTTGGCTCAATCGAGATAATGTTTTGAAAAGATATTTTTATTTCCGTTCAGAAATTAATATTTATGATGGATAAAAACTTCCTAACTTACTCGTATCACTTGCTTAAAATTGTCATAAACTTATTTTTATATATCAGTAGATGTAGATAGCCTACTTGGCTAGAAATGTCTTACTGAATAAACAAAAAAAAAAAAAACTCGTATCACAATAAAATAAATTTTGAATTATAAAAATAAAATTTAAGTATAAACAAATATACATTTTTCTAAATAAATCTTATTTATTTTTCAATTTCATTACCTCTCTCTCTATTCCTATAAAAAATTATGACCCGTGATGCCAATGCGTATCTCAAATTTGGCTCGACATAAAATTATGAGTATTATGTATTTACAATAGCCGCTATTAACGTATAGTTAATGAAAAAACACGAGCGGATAACAAGTTTATATATCATATAAAACATTTACATGACTGTGGAAATTATTATTTATTAATAATTTTTATTTATAGAAACATAAAAATATTATTTATATTGTCATTCAACTGAATTATAAGACTAATTACACAGATATTATATTTTTATCCATGTAGAAATGTAGATTTTTATTACTAATTTTTTTTTCCACTAAGTTGTTATATTATTTCAGAATTGGTAGTCCTCTGCTAAAGGTGCTTCAAAACATTCATTTGAAAGGGGAGTCACATATATTAAAAAACTTAACTAAAATTTATAAAAAAAAAAAAAAAACTACCTATTTACTCTACAATTAATTCAACGTGTCTATTCATGGTATTTTCAAACATAGGTATTACCTTGTTTATTTCCGTACGGCGTACATATATTAATAAATACAAACTATTATCCAACATTTAAAAATGATTTAATATTTATGATGTTTATTATATCGTTTTTTTTTTTTATAAATAGTATATTTTTTTTAAATATTACAGATCTGGAAGGGGGGTATGGACACTATTTCCCTTAAAACAGCCGCTGCTGTCCTTCGCATTATTCGATTTTTATTTTTTATCAAATTTGTTAAAGAATATGCAAGAATATTACAATTTGTTTATAATGAAATATAAAATAAATAAAAATACACATAGGTACTTGTCAAAAATAATAATTTATACAATAAAAAAGTTTTTGATTTAAAAATTAGCATAATTAAATGATTATAAACATTAAATTTATAATAATATTAATAAATAAATGTAGGTAACATTACAATAATTATATTCACATCTCCTTGATATACTCTTAACCCTATTTTTTACATGTTTTTGATCATTGTGGTATAAATATTAATGGACTTTAAGTTAATTAATGTTTAACATCTAAAATTTTAAGCTTTTCGTTTCATTAGTTCCACTTAATAAAATCAATAGTAATAAATATGATAGAAACTAATTATAATTTTATATGACTGTCGTTTTGTAATATATATAATATGGTACATAATATGTATATATCTATATGTCTATACGATCAGACTTCAAAAAAATGTTCACAAATTGTTTTGCTTGGCACATTTAAAATTATATTATTTTATGAAGTTTCACCACATGGATACTTCTTTGGCTCTATCAACCACTATTGCTTGTCCCGGCGCCGGTCTAAAAAAAACAAATTTTGGTTAAATATAAATATACAATAAAATAAATAACACAATTTTTTACAAGATGTATATGAACTAAAATGCAATAAAAAAATTAATTTCCACTGTTTCCGAAACAGAAATTTATCGTTAATTACACTACAGAACAGTTAGAACATTACATTTTAAATATTCGGTGGTTATTTTAGATTTCCCGGAACATTCAATAGACCAATATTAAACATTTTTTGTTCAAAATGTATTAATTTCTATGGCAATCAATTCAACTTGGTGAATATTTATTAACATTTTCTATATGTTCATTTTAAAAATTGAGGGTGACTAATTCTCTGACTTAAAAACTATTGCTATAATTATGTTAATATCTCATAATAGTTACAACCCCAGGGACATACGTATTTATTGATACGATCATCTTGCATGTAAAGTTTATGATAATTGATAATAATAAATTATTATATACAGGTAGCAGGGATAATTATTAAAAGTTTAATGGTTAAAAAGTTAATATTTTTTACCTTTTTAACTTTAGTGTTTTAAGTTTTAATTTAGTATATTAGTTTTTTAATTTAATTTAAAAAAATAATTCGTTAAGTCAAAATAATAATACATATAGTATAAACATATCATTGATTATACCTAATATATTTTTTTGTTTGATCATGCTGTTTTCAATGGTCTTAAATAAAAATATTTCTTGATTTAATAATTTATAGATAAGACTCAATTTTATATGATTGTCTAACATAACAGTAAAATAACAATTAAATGGAAAATATTTGGATAAATGTTTAATGAAATGACTATTTATTATTACACAATCGTAATTTACGTCACTTTATTATTTGACTCAGTTGGTTATTCAATATATTAATTAACTTTTTTTAATAGAGTTAAATTTATTATTTTTTTTTCCATACTATCCCTAGACTTTTAGAATTAAATATGTTGTTTTTATTAATTATACCAATGTATAACTTAGCATAATTGACATTGATTTAACTTACTCATGTTGAATTTATCCATCTACCTTTGGGTATTATTTTATATTAACATATATGATCACCTTGTGGGAGGCAAAGACGTTTTTAATATGGACAGCCTCCTCTTGTCGCGGTTGTTGAAAGAGACTGCCAAATTGGACGTTTGACTAGTCATCGAGTCTTGCGATATAGTCCTATTGAACTTAATTCCCTGGACTGCGGGCCTATTGTATGGAAACCTCCATGGAGAATTTGGCGGAGCTGGGTCTAACTCAAAGCCACGGTTGTCCGTTCCAGCGAGTTTCATGTGGTTGTTGACGTCATCATCTTTCTTGGACGAAAGTCGCCTATGAGATAAGATGGCGCATTAATCATAATATATAATTAAGGGAACATATGTATCAAAAACACCCCATGCGTTTACTTTATTATAATATAGATTGTAACTTGTAACAATATGATAAAACATTTGACAACCTTAATATTCTGCGACCAAGGCCCTCGGGTTCTTCCAGACTCTTGTTGCCGACGCGTTTTTTTCGGTGTATGCTATCTTCGATGATGATGTGTCGGTCATACGGCGTGTCGAAGTCCACTTCGAGAATGGTGGAGAATTTGTGCGGGTACACGCAGTCAATGGCCACGATTATTAACCCAACAGAAATGCACAACAGACCTATAAAGGACGAAATAGTAACGATGTGAAGAATTATAGTTAACAAATAATGTAGGGTATAAATTAAAACCTATATTATTTGTTAAATTATAACTTATAATTTTGCATGTATAATAGTACTCATCGCACTGGCAATTGGCATTATATAACACATTATAATTTAACAAAGTTATTAAAATTATAGGCGGGGATCGTATCAATATGTATATATTGATAAATTATTATAAGTGTTGAAAAAATTCCATCAAATATTATATAACTCAACATTTTTATGAAAGTGTTGTAGGTATACATAAGGTAAAAATAATAGGTATACATGATTACATGATAACTGTTACTGGGGTGCGCATCTGTACATATATTTATTAATTGTTTAAAAATATAGCTAGGCGTAAGCTACAAATTTGAATCCAAGCATAATAGTTCTGTAATTAATATTTTACCTCATATTTTTTTTGTATTTTTGAACATTTATAATTATTAAAAATATTAAATTCGTATAAAAAATGCACGATGCATACAATTTGTATTGCATACATTACATTTAATTAAAAAATATGTTTATATTTCAAAGCATATCCGTCATTAACTGTCATTCCTTAAATAGCTAAAAAATAAAAAATATATAGGTACTAACTATTAAAAAATTATACTCTTTTAAAATTAATTTTGTTAATTTTGAATTTACTATTTAGTAGTTATATGACCCTTTAAATACTTTTTAACCTAATTGGTTTTTAATTTACACAATGATTTTAATATAGAATGATAATTCATGCATAAATGTGTATATATAGTTTGTATGTTTTTATAGTGCTTATAATTTCGGGCTCTTATTATATATTGCACTTATTTTGATTATTAAAACATTATACGCGATGACCTAAGTGTATATAGGTAAATGAAACAATAGATGAGCGTAAATTATACCTACAATGAATAGGTATAGTAACAAGTAGTAAAAAGAGTTAAACAAATTACGCATGATATTTTTGAATTTCTAAAACGGGTAAATATAGTAATTTGCGCTCGTACCCCTAGTATATAATTATCCTTGAATTTCATCGAAGTACTTGGGTATTAAATACCGTTGTACACATTTTATCTATGTAAAATTCAAACTTTATCTTTATAATCGTTTATTATCATTAATCAATGATTTTACCAGACAGTTGTCTGTGAAACACCGAGGATTACATTATTAAGAAAATGCCAAATTTTTAAAATAAAAAGACGAATTGGCTTTAAGTGAAACAAAGTGGCTATGTAGTCTAAAACATATAAATTATTTTTCAAAACGTTTGGAGTATAAATTATAATAATACTAAAATACAATTTAAACAATAACCATGAAATTGATCATTGATGTGTGCAAAAATCACTATGACAGATTGTATGTGTCATAAAATGGCCAACAAATAAATAATCTTACTTAAAAAATTTCCATACTCAATTTACTACACGGTAATTTATTTCTTAAATGTATTAGTTGCAATTTAGAATTTTTCCCCCTTCGTTGGGCAAAATTTACACTTAGCAATATAATCATCTAGATAAATATATATATTATATTACGCGCAGGGAAAACAAACCAGTGAACAGTGTTAGCCAGAAACACCAGCCCAGCCTGAACAGTAAAAACTTGTCGTCCTGAAAACGTATGACTAGAGGCGACGACGGAAGCATGCAGTGATAGGCGATTGTTGCTCCGACCATAAAACTTCCCATGCCTATCATCGTGTACGCTCCGTACCGCGGAACGACTATCAGCAATATGTTCATCAGGAACCATAACACAAACGCAGTCCTGTTAACATAAACATGATACATCATTATGTACACGAACACGTCATGTGCAGAAATTAATCTTTTGATATACTGTGTCTTACGCAACACAGATGTAATTACGTAATTGAAGGGATTATACCTTAGAGGACTTAGTCATTTTGAACCCTGTTGATAAACGTATTATTGCATATGTAAAGACAACTTAGCGCTGCACTAAGATAACGTTGCAAATAGCAATTTTCAGAAAAAAATTATTTTGAAATTTTTTATGGCAATTTTTCAATGTAGTCATGATGATCCAAATAATTGTTTCATAGGACTAAATGGTTAATACTAACAATACAATATAACAATATATAAATATTTTGCAGTCAATATAAAATACGTATCGATCAATATTAAATAAATTTTGCTTTGTATTAAAATTAGGTATGACATCTAATCGAATCTTATAAAATTGTGACGAGAAGTCTCATAAGTTGTTATAATTTTCTTAGATTAAAAAATCTAGAGAACTCGAACAATATACATTTTGGTCCTATCTACGTCTATATATTTTATATATACGATAAAATGTCATATACCTAAGACCTAACTAAAGTCTAAAACCCATCTCGTTTGAAATTTTTTCTGAACTATTTCACACGTATTATACATTATAATATATTTACCATAAAAATATACTCCCGTAGTAGCCCGCGGCTCTGTATTGACCTCCCCAAGCAAACCCTTCTTGGCCCAGACTAAAATATTCAGCTACGGTTAGGATAGGAAAGGGCATGCCCCGGTACAAGGCAGCTTGATAGCTTTCGCCCATCTCATGAGCTCCCAGCCAAGAAAAACGTTCGTTGAAACTAATGTCTTCTAAGGGCATCGAAGAATTGTCAGATGGTATAGCTGTAACATACAAAAAACATAATTAAGTATAACAGAAATTACAGATATATATCGTACGTTATACTATTGTTGAGAATTTTTATGATATATCAATTATGCAATACCATAAGCGACTTGTCTCTTCAACAACGTGAAATAAATTTAAAAATATTTACAATATCCCTCCTTACCACACAGAGTTATGTTGATATGACCTAGTCCGACGTAAGCACCGAGTTCCGCAGTAATCAGTTCTTTAGAAAGAGCTCGATAAGCGCTTGTGATCACTGTTTCAGCCACATGCCAACTGGAGCCCAGTATTGACACTGTAACGATAATTTTTCGAGACATATTAATTATGTAGAAATGAAAATGATGTATAATCGATATAAATAAATTATATAATCTAGTTTTCCCATGGAGACCTCGAAAAAGCGAAAGCGCGTCCCAAAATTCAGTAGGTCGTAAAATCGCCGAACCGCGGTAAATGTGCTGAATTTGATGGTTCCTCAACAAACCTTGTCATGGCCCTGAGGCCATCATTTAACCTAATTAGTTGTATTATAATATTATTTTTCATAAAAAAAAAAATAATATATTTAACGAATTTACAATAGCTATATTATAGCTATTATAGGTACCTGTCTACTGCAATTTTTTAACAATTCGAAATGATGATTGAATCCATCATTTTATTTTTTGTAGCTATAATTTTACTTTTATATAATAAAATTACTCAAAATACTTCCGTAATTTGTTAAAACAATTTGTGCATTTATTTATCTATTAATAATATTATATACTACAGTTGTATCATCACCCTATGTGATCATTACTATATAAATTATACAAATGATTAATTTTATAACGTAAAAATGAAAAGAATAAAAATATGTACGAGGTGGATTAAGGGATGTCAAGGGGGTACGATCTCGAGTTCTATTGATTAAATCTGGGCTTAAGCATATAGAAGTATACGTATATAGTGTAAATCACCATATAATATTAGTACAATCATTAAACGTACCCAACATAAAAATCAAAGCATACATATTCCTATATTATTATTTATTTACTTAAATACGGAATAAAAATTAGAAATGCAATAAAATTACAAAAGTAAACATTTTTTATTTATTTAAAACAAAATGAAATTTAAACCAAATGAATAAAGACTTGCTTGTATACAATCACGATATTTATGATAAATTGCAAGGTTAATAATTAATATTAAAACTATCAAAAATACAAAATCATTGTCTAATAATTGTGATGTATTTGTCGAACTCATTACTAAATAAGATTTCTGGTGCTCATCTTAAAATTGTTTTTCATTTTTAGAGTAAAAAACGAATACTTTTTAGAAGACACGACTAAATTCATGAAAAGTCTTAAACTTTTTTATTTTTATTAAAAGAATATTTACAATCTGTATACATTATTATATGATAAGCAAATTATGAAGGGCTTAAAAAGAAAACAAAAGACATGTAGACTTGAAAGAAAGATGGGCGTTCCGGTGACACCACTTCAATTTAAGTCTTAAACTTAAAAATTTTAGTAGGAAATAAAACATGTTTAAAGATTTAACGAAATTTAAAAATATTACCATTTAAAATGCCTGTAGTTTGTAAAAAATGCGTGAAAAATAATTTTGATTCGTTAATTTGTATTACAAAATGTGCGACGAGCGTCTATATAATATACATTCCTATGAATAAGTTTGGTTTAAAAAGTAAAAACTGAAAATGATAATATTATGGTATAGTAGGTGCCAGGTGGGTACTTGGTAATTGTATTCAAGTAACCATTTGATGCGGGCAAAACTATGTAAACGAAATTAGCAAGACCTATTATTATTTATTACTGTGATTTACGACCGAATATGAATTATACGATAGATGCATTTAGAAGTGGGTGGACAATTGAAGAAAAGATTAATTTATTTTTATTCTACATAGTGTACAATATTATACTATATAGTCGTGAAGTATGATAACATATTATGTATAAAATATGTATATTATGATTCGTAGCAAGCACATATTATTAAAATATTATCATAAGTAACATACTAAATACTATTACAGTTAGTTCGACGATAGTTAAATACAATAAATAAGTAAATCAGTGTACAAAAACGTACTAAATTATACAGTTCTGGAACTCTGGTTATTTTAAAACAATGTTCTTTTTGTACTAGTTGAGTCATCATCGGACTTTTAAAATATTCAATACTGCCAAAAAATTATAATATTCCAATAACAAATATTTTTTTCCACACTTGACTATTTTTAAAACATTATATGGTGATTTTCTTTTATGAGTTTTTTTTCCATTAAAATTCTAATCTTAGTAATGACAGATGTACTCAATATATAACAACAAAAACATTATAGGTATAATATTTTTCACATTCATCACACATTTCTTATCGACTTATCAATTATCATGTTGGTAGATTTATCGTGATGACGGACACTTGCATTATTTAATAATGTACCTTATATTTTCACCTAGTTGAAGGTACAATAAAAATAGTTTTATGAAATATTGTTAATTTTGTTTTGGTATTCAATGAAAATTGTTTGGAATTTATCATAAAACTAGTAATTAGTAATTTTACTACAAGTAAGCAATTTTTCTTTCTTTTTGACACAATACTATGAATAAATAATTAATTTATATTTTGTACATAAGCATATAAAAAACAACAATGTTTAGGTCACATAATACTTAGATATTTAATATTTAGTCTTTTCATTTCATTTCGATTAATCAGAAAATAACTAAAACCATTGTTAAAATATAAATTAATATTATAACTTATAAGTTAGATCAAAGCATTAAGTATAATTTAATCCTGGAAGATATATAAAAATTAATTAGCCAAATTTAAAAAGAAACATATTTTAATACTTTTATAGATAATTAAAAATCTTTGAATAATCAAAAATCTAACCTCGAGAACTTGTAAATTATTTACTATTATAATTAAGGAGTTTTAACGGTTCTTACTATCCTTGAATAATGTATATTTTTAAATTAATTTTATAAACAAATATTTATATACTTTGTTTTTAGTAAATATATTCTTTATTCTAATTATATAATATTCTCAATAAAAAAATTGTTCTCCTATTGAATAATGATCATCAAAATACATATTTCAAAATATTTAAATTTACATAAAAACGCCATAGATCAATTAATATATTTTAAATAGTTTCTTAGATTGAAGGTTTCAGTATACATTTGGTAGTTAGACGCAGTTTACATTGATATTATTGTGATTTGTGGTTAATGTAAAATACATTTATTAGTGAGCATTATAAGCATTTAGTAAATTGTAATTACATTTTATGATTATTTTACTTTTTATTTAAGAATATAAAAACATTACATTGATATAATAAAAAAATACAATGCACAATATGCATAATAAATAATTATAAGTTTTAAGTAATTTGAGAAAGTTTTAGATGTAATATTGATATAACATAATAAACTTGTAGAATTGATAATGAAAAATTACAAAAAAAATAAATAAAATATAATCATTTATATAATATTCTATGTTTAAATTTGTGAACAATTATAGCATTATAGGGTATCAGTTAATATCTGTTTTAGAATTCGTAAAAAGTAATTAATAAACAGTTAATAAAAGAATTAATTATTATTGGATTCATGGTTTATTTCAAAATGTAATGTGGATGTTTTCATTGTTTTAATATGTAGCTTAGAACAAATATAAAGACTAGAAAAATGAATCCAATAAAGTCAATATAAAAATGTATATTATATACTTACTATAATTATTTAACACGTTTAAAGAAGACACGTTATTATATTATAACAAAATAATTTTCATTAAGGTTACTGACTATGCTGATTAGTCAATGGTAATGGTGATAAATGTTTATGAATTTATGATATTATTTAATTAAAAAAAGATTATGAATAATAAATAAAGAATACAAAAAGTCGTGTACTAACGAAATATGTGTATTACCATTGAATATATATAGTATACATACTCAATGGTATTACTCATATTAAAAAAAATAAGTATACATTTGTTATTTGAAACTATGTGTCTGTACAATCGTGTACAATAAAGAAATGAAAATTTTTACCATCAGTGTACGTTGAAATAAAAAACTATAAATAAATACATTTTGCTCGTGGAGGTCGGACAAGTAGAAAAATAAGTAATACCTGTAAAATAGTTTCTAAATTTATTGTAAAAAACATAAATGAAAAAATAGTATTTATTAATAGCTTATATATAAATTATTTATAAATAATTACATTTTAATATTATAATTATGTTATATTTAATAAGACAATTTTTATAGGTATCATAGCTATTATCACCTAAGAAAATGATGCATCACGATTTTGTACTCTCAAAACATTTTTATTTTTTTAAATAACATTTTATATTTATTTAATAATGTTGCAATATTTATTGTTGATTCGATATCTTCTTAATTACTATATACCTATTTAAAGTATAGTACTGGAAAACAATGTAAAAAGAAAATAAAAAAATTATTTTGTGCTTAGAAAAAAGAGTTGTATGATTAATGCATATAATTTGATATTTATTCAGGTAAAAAAAAAGCACGCTAAAATCAATATAAATGCGTCTATCCAGAACTGCAGCTTGATTGCTCATGAAACCACAACAACTTAATATCATTATTTTATTAAAGAGTTAATGTTTATGCATTTAAATTTGGATGTTAATTTTTTAATACGTATAGTAAAAGTTATAGAGCAAGATAAAAATTTATTTTATAATAACCTTTGTATATAGGCAATATTTTTATAATACATTTGTTTGTATACTTCAAACTTCAAACTACTTTACATTTAAAGCATATTATAGTATAATACTATAATAGACATATAGGTAGTTCAGTTATTTTTCATAATATTAAATACGGAACAGTTACACATCTATAAGTGTTTAAGAAACAAAATTAATTTTACCGGATTTTGCACGGGAAAAAAATAATAATAAACGAACAGAATAATATTTTTAAAAGAAGACTTTCTTGTCCGTAAAAACTCAATTAGGTATACAATAATAAATAACGGTCTTTTGTCTTATGTATTATCAATAGCAACTAGAAATAAATCAGAAATTTAATTTTTGTATCTTACGAACAAAACGCCAATGAAAATACAATTAAAATCGGTCCAGCTGTTTCAAAAATTAGTATACCAGATAAACTTAAATTTTATTTATTTGTACTTACAGATAAACTTAAAAAAAAAGGCAGGTTAATGGGTAGCACTTTGCAGTCTGCTGCAT